ATCTTTTAATTAAGTCTTTAATTTAATTAAGTTTTTGGTTTCCTAGTGACATTAGTATTAAGTACTCGATTAGGAGTTTGTATTTCTTTTTCAAGTAGAATAAGTGAATGAAACTCTATATAAGGAGGCCACCACCACACTTTGTAACACAATTCAAGTAATTAATAAAACATCAAGTTTATTTCTTTATCTCTCAAGCTACAAGTGTGTGCGTTCAGTGAGTGAAGTCTTTGACCATCTTGTTGATATAGAAATTGGGATCACTTATCCAGGTAAGCTCATGGCGTTTTTTAACTCTAGTTTCTTTCCTAGTTATCTTAGTTTGCCTTCTCACTATTGATTGCGGGATAAGTAGTGAGGGTTTACTTAGGGACTTCAAGTTTTTTATTGCTGATATTATATGAGAGGTTTTACATTGTTGATTCTAGGTTCCTCATCAATTCCTCTTCCTTTCATGACAACTAGGGATGAGTTATTGCCCTATATGTTCAGCTCATTGGTTCACGCACACCACTACATTACATTTCAACAATTTGATCAAATTATTATTTGGTTTGGTGTTATGTTTTGTGTACCTCAGTCATGAATTCAATGAGTCATTAATTGACCTCCTTCACGAAATGCTCCACTTGTTGCGTATTTTGCTTCTCCATCATGATGGACCTTTGTCTGGATAGAGTTCGTGATACTAAATAAACATAGTTTTATATATTCTCATAGCTCTAATATAAATGTTTCAAGAACCTTACTCATGAGTTCGTAATCTAATCGGTTAAACAAAATAGGGATATGGAAGAAGAGATAAGGAAAGAGGGAGTCGAGAGAGAGAGAAATTAGAACCACAATTTGAATTTTGAATTGATGATGTTGTCCTTCCCACGAGTGAGTCATTTATATAGAGACATAAAGGGCACATCTTTCAATTAGACACATCCTTTATGGTTAAAACTGAATAAAAATAAAAGTCCATATTGTAACTAAGGTACAAGGTTACCCTCTTTTTGCACACCTATTTACCCTTTTACCCTTCTTCCTTCAATACACCTTTAGTGATTTCCTTCCAACTTATCGTGTTACTTATGAGTCTTCAAGGCAAACTGCAATTTGTTATTCTTAAAAGCACAACACTATTGTGAGTGTTATTATAATTTAAAGTCCAATTTGTTGTTCTACAAAGCACATAATTATTATGAATAAAACTTCAGTAAGAATTTTTTTCTTGGTTAATCTTAGCAACAAATTGAAATAATCTAAGAGAAATTATGTCCTTTCATATAAATACAACAAATATAAACATAACCCACTCCATGGTGGAAAAATGAATCATAAGAAACTCATTGTTAGTTTTGGCTTAATATAATGAGGAGTAGATTATTTTTATCTATTTTATATTTGCTAGTTTATTTTGATATGAAGTTCTAGTTTAGATCTGATAGGCTGATGTAGTATGTTACTCTAATTAGTAAAAATAATAATAGTTATGTGCCAACAATTGGAAATTTTCCATTTTTATGAGTTTGGATGACTATCCTAACAGCCCTTTAAAGTCGTTAGAAGAATTACTTGGACGAACAGAAAAGGCTTTCATTAGTAGGATTTATGACATGGTAATAGTTTTTTCCAATTACCTATATTTATATTGTTATTATTAATTTATAACAATAAATAAAAGATTCATATGCAATGTATATATTTTGTAGTTGTACATTTTAATATGCATTTTTTCTACAAAAATAAATAAAATATCATTAATTAAAATAATTTATTCTAATAATTATTAAACATGTAATATTAAAGAATAATACACAATTACTAATTATAAATCAACTAAATGTATAATATAATGAAAGGTATATACTATAAAATTATATACTAATTAAATTAATTAAATTAGCACACGTAAATTATTAAGTTATTTATACCCCATAAATATTTTTATA